GAATAGAATAGAATAGAATAGAATAGAATAGAATAGAAAATAGAATAGAATTCTTTTATTGGCCAAGGTGATTGGACACACAAGGAATTTGTCTTGGCATAAACACTCTCAGTATACATAAAAGAAAAGAGACATTCGTCAAGAGTCGAGAATCATCAGGTACAGCACTTAATGATAGTCATAAGGTACAATAAGCCATCCAATCATACTAGGAAACAGTCAACAAAAATCGTAAGGATACAAGCGACCAAGTTACAGTCCTACAGTCACAAGCGGGAGGGGATGGGCGATAAGGAGTGATGAAAAGATGGACACTAATAGTAGTGCAGACTTTGTAAATAGTTGGAGAGTGTTGAGGGAATTATTTGTTTGATGGCATTGGGGAAAAAACTCCCCTTGTGTCTAGTTGTTCTGGTGTGCAGGGCTCTATAGCGTCATTTTGAGGGAAGGAGTTGACACAGTTTATGTCCGGGATGTGAGGGGTCTGCAGATATTTTCACAGCCCTCTTTTTGACTTGTGCAAGTATACAGGTCCTCGATGGAAGGCAGGTTGGTGGTAATTGTTTTTTTTACAATGCAGTTACTCTACTTGTAAGGATCTTAAAGGTATACGAAGACTCTACTTGCTCTCTACGCTTTGTAGCCTTCCTCTCATATCTATCTTGTGTGTATGTGAGGATGGGTCTTACCCTAACCTTATGGATCAATTAAAGTTAGATTTTGTTCTTCAAAGCCTCTGCTTAAGTTCCCTTTTTGGCACATGGTGGTCTTAATTTATAGCCGGACTTCACAATGTAAAAGTATGCATACCATCACGAAAGCATTTGTAATGAATGGAAATGAGGTTGTATAGAAGAAAATTTGTTGAATAAAAATTATTTTAAAAAAGAAAGTCATGCATTATAGAGTTCCGAGAGTTGAAGTCCTCATATCTTCAAAGGGGCGGAGACACCCACCCACCCCCTGCCCGCAACTCTCCTTACCTACGACCTTGACTCTCATCGTCCGTGTCAGGGAGAAATCCCGGCCATTTTCCCGGTAACTCGCCACGCAGGTGTACTCGCCCTCATACGCGGTTTCGACAATGGCAAAAGTGAGGTTGAGCCCATTGGGGATCCGATCAGGATACTCATATTTCATCAGGTGGCACTCCTGGAATGGGGAGAGGGTGGCAAACTGGTGTCACAGGAGGGTGGACCTTTTCAGAGGGGTGGCTGGCTAGAAAACCGAAGCCACGCCCTGGATCTCCTGGGATGGAGTTCAGACAACCAGGTGAAGCAGGTTCGGTTAGGGGTCGCCAACCTTTTGGACCTCCGGGACCACCAAACTCATCATTTTAAATCCCGTGGACCAGAGACCCTGGGAAAATCCCAAAAAAAGTCTGCAGGAAAATCCCCCACCCCGTTTACCTACCGATCGATCCTTCTTTATTCAGGATCACAGGATACCGTCTCCAGCTCCGTTCTCAGGGAGAGACTTTTGGCTTCATGCAAGGAAAGCAGCAGAAGTCTTTCTTTTTCTCCCCCAAACTCCACCAGAAATGAGTCTTTGCAGCACAGCCTCTTGGAGCAGGAGGCCTTGCAGGGTCCCAAAGACTCATTTCTGGCGGAGTTTGGAGGAGAAAAAGAAAGACTTCTGCTGCTTTCCTTGCATGCAGCCAAAAGCAGAAGGAGAAAGAAGCAACCCAGTGGCCAGGCCAGGCATATGGGGTGAGTGGGGCAATTCCCCCCCTGCCCTTTCCCCCCTCCCCTCACTGCCTCCTGTTGTTCGCAATGCAAGCGACGCAAGCCTTGTGCTCCCGCGGGCCATGTGGGCAGCACAGCCTTGTGTTCCTGCGCAGCCTGGATTATTTGCTTTGGGGGGGACATTTCTCTGCGGACCACCAAAATTCTCTCACAGAGCACCAGTGGTCCCCGGCCCACTGGATGGCGACCCCTGGGCTAGAAGGAGGCGTGAAACTAGGCAGGGCTTCCAGATCCGAGCAATGACACAACTGTGTAAAAAAACATATTACAGGTCGTCCTCAGTTTATGACAACTTAGCCCCAGATTTCCCATTGCTAAGCAAGCCAGTTGTCTCGCTTAACAACGGTCTCATCAGCAACAACCCCTTGCTTAGCCACTTGACTCCTGGTCCCAGTTGTGCGGCAAGTCAAAGGGTCCCTGTTTGGAATATAAATAAAGAAAGAAGAATATTTCTGGCAGCTGAGCAGAGCCAAACCGTTCCTTCCCTGTGCTGCCTTTCCCGACATTTTTAATGAGAAAAGGAACAGGGGGGAAGAGAGACGCCTGCACATCACCTCCTCCAAGGTTCACCTTGTGTGTTGAATAACAAAATAACAAAGTTGGAAGGCACTTTGGAGATTAAATCAGAATTGAGTTGGAGGGGACCTTGGAGGTCTTCTAGTCCAGCCCCCTGCCCAAGCAGGATTTCCTATACCATTTCAGACAAGGGACCATCCAGTCTCTTTTTAAAAGCCTCCAGTCATGAAGCGCCCAGAACTTCTGGAGGCAAGTTGTTCCACTGGTTAATTGTCCTCACTTTTAGGAAGTTTCTCCTTAATTCCAGGTTGCTTCTCTCCTTGATTAGTTTCCATCCTTTGCTTCTCGTCTTGCCTTCTGGTGCTTTGGAAAATAAACTGTGGCGGCCCCTCAAATACCGGAATGGTGCTATCTGGTCCCCCCCAGTCCTTCTTTTCTCTCCCAAATCCTGCAACCGTGCTTCATGTGTTTTAGTCTGCAGGCCTTTGATCCTCTTAGTTGCTCTTCTCTGCACTTCTTCCAAAGTCTCAACCTCTTTTTCGTAATGTGGTGACCAAAATTGCAGTATTTCAGGTGTGGTCTTCATGTGATCTTGATTCTAGGCCTCTGTTTCTACAACCCTGGATTGTATTATCGTTTTTTTGGCTGCTGGCTCATGTTTAAGGGATGTTGTTGAGCCAGGTTTCTCCTAATCTGTACTTGTCCCTTTGGTTCTTCCTGCCCAGGTGGCTTTTCTCCGCATTAAATTTCGTTTTGTTGAAAAGGGTTCTGTTAACGATTGCCAAATATGGTGGGAATAATAAAGCCCCCTCAGTGGCTGAAGCTTTGGACAGCACCGGCTACAAAAGCAGGCAGCAGCCGTGGCTGAGCAGCTTTTTCTTAATTGGACAATAAATAGAGTTTACCTGTTTCTGCCGCGTCCTGCCTCTTATTCCCGCGGACGCATTTAACACGGGCAACGAGGATGGGGTCCTGAGCTGCGGAGAGAACAAAAGACACCTCGTGGGTTTCGGATGCCATTTTACCGGCCATCGCAGTGATCACGACCTCGCCGACCAACATGGCTCAACGCTCAACCAGCCTGGCATACCGCCCGATGTCGATCCCCTACGACCCGGCAAAGGAGAAATGGTCCTCATACACAGGCCAATTCGATCTACGCCTGGAAGTCAACGGACTCGGAGCAGCCCCCGATGCACAAAAAAAAAGGCATCGTTCCTAACCTACCGTGACAAGGAAATCTACGAAATGGCAGATGACCTAGTGGCGGAAGACCTGCGGAGCGTATCCTGGGACGAACTTCAACGGGCACTCAAGGGGCATTACGCCCCCTCTCCCTCCAACCTGGCAAGCTGGTAAGACTTTTACAGCCATAGCCAGAGAGAGAGACGATCAACTCATTCGTGGCCGACTTGCGGAAGATAGCAAAAAACTGCAGGTTCACAGACACCGAAGGAATGATCCGAGACCAAATCATAAAAAGCTACAGACCTGGCCCTACAAAAGAAACTCTCGGCCCGGGAGGATGTCTCCTTCAAAGAAGCCATCGATGAGGCACGAGCCGCAGACTCCTCTGACAACTCGGCAGCACGGATCCGAGGGACGGGCAGGATCCATGCCACCGAGACGGATTGAAACCCTAACCGCAACGACTCCGCCTCAGAAGCAAGCGAGGGCGAAGATGAGGAAGTGCACAAGGTGAAGTCCGGTAAGCCAGATGGGAAACCGAGAAATAAAGAGTTGCGGGGGTTGTGGAGGCCATCATCACTGCTCGGCATGCCGTTTTAAAGACACTATTTGCCGAAGATGTGAGCGCAGAGGCCACATCGCAGAGGAATGCCAAGCGATCCAACCGACCAACAAGGCATCATCACCCATGAGGCAAGATGGCTGCCAAGGGGGAGGGCGGAAGGCCCCTGGTGGGAAATTCAGAAGGAGAGATGACGCCCGGGAAGAAGAAGCACCCTTCGCTTTCGTTGGCTACGCCCAGACCCAGGTGAGACACGCCGATGCCTACGAGGCCAACAAAGTAAAGGACACAGTGTCCATTGAGGGCAAGCCCTGCCGGATGGAAGTGGACTCGGGGTCCTACATATCCATGATATTATGGGACACCTTCAAAAGACTCCAACCCGACTCCCAGTGGCACTTCCATCGACGATGGATCAGAGACCGCGATCGTGCGCGGCTTTGATCCATGTTAACCTTGTTGGAAGGGTCCCTACGGGACCAGAGTCATCTGATCCACCTTGGAGGGGTGGGGGAAGAGGGGTAGACTGCCATCTGGGTCAAGGGGAGCCGCATCTCCCCTCCCTAGTTAGGTATTACTCCCGTGGAAGACAGGGATAAACAGCAGTCTAAGATGGCTGCCCTGAAGACAGAAAGCTGCCGGGACCAAAGTGTGCGCTGGAGCGGTGAAGTGATGTAACCAGATAAAAGAACTTGATTTCTTCTTAACAAACCCAAGAAGTAGAAAGAGAGAGCCCTTGCTTAAGAGTATCACAGCAGCGAACAGAAAATAAGAGGAAAAGACAAGGTTTTGGAGTATAAAAAGCTACAACAAAATTAGAGACTAAATTTTGAATAATATGTATAATATGGCATTAATTAGGCATTGAACAAAATTCTGGACTTGCCTGGAATTGACTATTTTTAAGGAAGTTAATCATGGATAATTAAAAAGAGAAAAGAAAAGAACTTTGAAAAGTGGAAAGTGATACAGAGTGCCATCAATTGGTTAAAGACTTTTTTCCTACAGAATTTTATGGAAATTTACTGGTCTTATAATTGTTATGAAATAAAAGACAAATAAAATAATAAGAACCCCAGAAACTTAAAAAAAGGGGGAGAAATAAGAGGATGTATAAATGTAATTTCCTGGGACTGTTGGGTGTTGATTTTGACAAAGAGACAGAAAAATTAATAAAGGAAACAAAGAGACAGAAAAATTAATAAAGGAAACAAAGATAAAAGGAGACTTTTGGCAAGGATTACAACAAAAGACTTTGAATATCAATAACTTAACTGATTATAAAAAATGGAAGAAATAAGCAAAGACTAAGTTGGAATTGCAAATTATAAGAGGAATTGTAAGAGCTGAAAGAAAGAAGGGAAATATTGGACATACTGGCAAAGAAAATAATGGCGATGGTAGAAGAACAAAGACATTTCAGTGAAGCGGAGTTAAAGGAAGAAGAAAGTGACTCAGATAGACATGGAGAACAAGAGATACTGCCAAAAGACACGAAAGGAACTAAAATTATGACACTGATGACAGAGTTAATAAATAAAAGAGAAAATGCTCCCAGGATTAAACAGAAGAAGAAGAAATTCTACAAGGAGAAACTTCAAAAAAGAGAACAGGAAAGGGGTGGGAGAAGAAGGGCAAAATACTGGAAGGAAAAAAGAAGGAAGACCAGGGAAATTTAGAAAAGGGAAAGCTCGCTAAAATTAAAAGAAATAATAAAGCCGAAAAATTTAGAGATAAGGGTTAGGGATTCTAACCCTTATATCACATGGGGATATCACATGGAATATATATTGGTATTTAGTCTAAAACTTGCTGGGGCTTTGGAGAATAGGTTGACCCCAGGGGTGGGATTCAATTTTTTTAACAACCGGTCTTTCTTTCTTTCTTTCTTTCTTTCTTTCTTTCTTTCTTTCTTTCTTTCTTTCTTTCTT